ATATATATACGTAAGGCGCATTAGACGCGGGCGGTATTGGTCAGTCAAAATAAAAATTTGTTTATATATATATAATATTGATGACAAGCACGCGTGTACGGGTACGATAACTAAAAATAAATTTTTATAGGAATAGTGTGCCGTCGTGTGGTGAGCGAGGCGTGGGGAGGGGTGAATGCGTTATGACAGTCTAGTCTAGACGACGGAATATGCGATAACGCGTGGCGTTTGAAGAGTTACAAACATACATACATACATACATACAGATGAAACTAATATAAGCGTGTTAAATAGAGCCACGTTATGGGATTAGAACCCGCGACCCAAGGCGTCGTATAGACAAACCTTAACACTAGGTCACCGTGCACTTATGATTCAGATCCAGATACACTTTTATTTAGGTTGATAACGTAATGTGCGGCTGATAGAAATACGGTACTGTGTCACCTTATAATTTTTTTTTATATTCGATCAATCATTTGCGTTTTAAAATTGTTTAAAGATTTGGATTTATAATATAAATTCATCATTAATTTGGTTTTCATAATACTGAAATAAACAATAATCTGTTTAAATGTGCATAAATTATTTTTATGGTGTCATTACAACAGTGTAAAATTGTGTTGATTATAAAAGTATGGGTCTATTAATAGACACGGATTATTTAAGATAACATTTTTGTATGATAGATAATATCAAGTTATATTTGTGTCGACTACTATTTGCTAATTGACTATATTAGTTGAGTTATATTAGCAATTCATCAATAGACAATTTTTCAAAATCGCTAAAGTTTAAAAAGTTATAAAAGAAGAACAATTTGTCGAATAAAAGAATTATAGCAACAATTGTTTTTTATTGTATCATTATACTTTATATCTCTTAATTAGAATAAATCGTGTTAATATATTAATTTTAATAGTAATTAGAATATATATATATATTAGAGGGGTCCTTAGTTATAGAATAAAAAATTTTTTTTAAGAAATTCAGAGTCATGGGCTCAAAATTTCGTTAGGTTCACTGAAAAAATGAAACTGGTAAAATTTGAGTACAATAAGTCAACCCCTTCACGTGCCTCAAAGGGGTTGAAGTTCTTCAAAAATGGGGTGGATTATCTTTTTTTGAGTGTACGCTCTTTATTTTTGAAGTTTCGCTAAAAACATAAAGAACAATTTTTATAGAAATCAATGTGAAGAAAAAATAAGGTAATATACTATTTTTTTGTAAAATTAATATTTTTTCGTAAAAATAAGAAAAATCAGTTTCACTTAATTTTTTTAAAAAAATGACATAGTTTTCAGTTATACTTTTCTAGTGTCTTAAATTTTAATTGTACGCAGAAATTGTACAGAAGTAATATTAATCACTGTGATATCTTCTATAAAAAACGTTATTTGAGTTTTTTTCGAATTATGAATCCTTTTTAAATAAAAATTTAAAACAACTACGAAAACTTGTTTTTTTTTTAATTTTTTTTTGTATGTATGTTTTTTTGTTCATAAATTAACAAATTTTTTTAGTTATATTAAATAAAAAAAAAACAAGAAACACAATAAAATAATAATTGTAATAGATGAGTGTTTAATATTTTGGAGAAAAGCGCGTATTCCTACACAGTATTCTTCAGATTGTGTTATTAAGTTAAAAATATTGTATGAGAAATAGAGAAAGTTGGACAAAAATAAATCTAGAAAAACAAACACAAGAACAACATTGTAATATTTTTTCTGAAGAATTAGACAACCTCTTTGACATTTCTCATATCGAAGCTCTGAATATGATAATTATTGAAGAAGACAAACAGTTTTTATTGTCACAACTTAAAAAGGGCCGGCTAGGAGCATGCTTGGTATTGATATGAAGTTAATAGGTATTGAAAAACGTAAAATTACTCGACAAGAAGAAGAAGATGATCGAAAGAAAAAAGAGAAGTTAGAAATTGCAAATTGTACAGGTAATTATTAAATATTACACAATAATTTCAGGACATTATAAGTAAGCTTTTACTAAGTTTTTATATACCGAAGTATTTTATTATTTAGCCGAAACTCAATATTATAGCAGCTCTAGCTCGGAGAAAGAAGATATTGATATGGAGGAAAACGTTGAAGAAATGAGTCAATGACCTGGGCCTTCAAAAGAAGTAAATGCACTAGAAGATATATGTTGTTTTGTAGTTAAATGTTATATTAAAATGTGGTTTTCAGCTGCGAATATTATAACAGCTCCTATAAATGATTTAATGTTATTAAAAAAGTTATTAAACTACAGTAATAATAAACTAGGAGAAGTAGCTATAAAAAAATTTATAAACCATTTATGGTATTTAAATGATGAGTGTGCTGTGTTTTCTTTATTTGACGATCGACTTGACATTAATACTAAGCAGCGAATGGCAAAAAAAATATTAAAAGGTTATGAAGAGAGCACGGATGAAGAGCCAGAAGAAAATGAAGATTCAAATAAAATTAACTTTAAAATATGAAGATTTATCAAATTTTCTAGAAAAAGATCTTTTTTGTTGCTCAACAATTCATAGAAATTATTCGAGCGATTTAAATTAAAATTCAGGTTTCTATATGAAGATCCTACCACAGGGGAAATAAATAATGAATACAATAACGCCAAAGAAATATTATCCTCCATAAAAATAGTAAACGACAGAATTTAATGACAAATTTACAAGGGATGAAAATCAAAAGCAATTTATATTACAAGTATGAAATTATAAAATAATATTGCAAAATTTAAAATTTTAAATTACTATATTTGTATTATAACCATTATATTTGACTATTTTAGGTGGTTCAACAATATCGCCAGCTGTTTTAAAAAATATTAAAATTATAAAAACTAGTATTGTAATAAACAATTATTATTTTATTGTGTTTCTTGTTTTTTTTTTATTTAATATAACTAAAAAATTTGTTAATTTATGAACAAAAAAACATACATACAAAAAAATCAAAAAAAAAAAAAAAATACGTTTTCGTAGTTGTTTTAAATTTTTATTTGGAAAGGATTCATAATTTGAAAAAAACTCAAATAACGTTTTTTATAGAAGATATCACTGTGATTAATATTACTTCTGTACAATTTCTGCGTACATTTAAAATTTAAGACACTAGAAAAGTATAACTGAAAACTATGTCATTTTTTTAAAAAAATTAAGTGAAACTGATTTTTCTTATTTTTACGAAAAAATATTAATTTTACAAAAAAATAGTATATTACCTTATTTTTTGTTCACATTGATTTCTATAAAAATTGTTCTTTGTGTTTTTGGCGAAACTTCAAAAATAAAGAGCGTACACTCAAAAAAAGATAATCCACCCCATTTTTAAAGAACTTCAACCCCTTTGAGGCACGTGAAGGGGTTGACTTATTGTACTCAAATTTTACCAGTTTCATTTTTTCAGTGAACCTAACGAAATTTTGAGCCCATGACTCTGAATTTATGAAGTCGAAAAATAAGGACCACCCTAATATATATATATACAAATAATGCGACTTAAGTACGTAAACGTATCATGCACTAGGTATAGCTGTGTTTTGTTGGCGGGCAGGTCGGATTAACGTTATATCTGAGGTATAAACGGCGGTACGAATATATAAATATATATACATAAGGCGCATTAGACGCGGGCGTTATTGGTCAGTCAGAATAAAAATTTGTTTATATATATATATAATATTGATGACAAGCGTGTACGATAACTAAAAATAAAT